CCGCTTCAAGTCCAACTTCCAGCGGGCAGCACCTGCGGAAGATACAAGTCTGGGACGTCAGGAAGGCTTTCTTCAACGCTGACTTAGACGAGACGATCTACGTGCATCCTGGGAGAGAGCTGTGTCCGCCTGGAAGGTGCTGGTGGTTACGCAAGGCCATGAACGGTACCAGGAAGGCGTCGCAGATGTGGGGTGAGCTTGTGAGAACTACTATGGACGACGGCCATTGGGAATGCTTGGTTGGAACTCCTAACGTGTTCTACTTACCTGCTAGCCCCAACACAGCCCCCTTCGACGAGGATAGCACAGCGATCTGCCATGGCGATGACTTTCTTGCTGAGGGCTACGACGAGCAGCTGGACGAGCTGGACGAGTTGTTGAAGCAGCAGTTTGAGGTCACGGCCAGCGCCAGACTTGGACCAGGAGCGGTGGGGCAGACTACATACCTCAAGAGGACGATCGGCTACACCGACAAGTTGCCAGGTTGCGAGGAGCCAGGTTTCTTCTGGACTGCCGATCCTAAGCATGTGGACTTCATGATCAAGTGGACGCAGAAGCGAGGTTGTAAACCAGCTCCCACTCCAGGGACGAAAGCTACAGGACAAGGCCGACGAGACAGCCTAGACCTTCTTTCCAAGGATCGTGCTCGAGAAGTGGCGGGTGCAGCTGGCACCGCTCTTTACCTTTCTTCGGACAGGCCCGACACGATGTACGCCAGCAAGACAGCGATGCAGCACGTCTCCAACCCGAACGTCTTGATGCATGCGCGTGTTCAGCGACTTGGAAGGTACTACGAAGGACAGCCTGTGTTGGTCTGGTGTTACCCACTTCAAGGTACTCCTGAAGGCATTCGTGTAGATGGTGACGCAGATTGGGCACCTACGAGTGAACTACAGCGGCGATCTACCAGTGGAGGAGCTGTGAGGTATGGTGATCACACTTGGGACTGCTACTCAGTGACGCAGAGTACGATAGCCCTAAGTTCAGGGGAATCCGAGATGTACGCTACGGGAAGTGCGACAGCCAGAGGACTTCAGTGTAAGACGTACCTGATCGAGACCCAGAGGCCCTGCAACCTGAAGATCTATAGTGACAGCACAGCTGGACGTGGCATGTGCAGTCGAGTTGGGGTGGGCAAGGTCAGGCACCTGGAGTTGAGGTACTTGTGGATTCAGGAGCGGTTGCGTCTCAAGGCGTTCGAGCTGCACAAGGAGGACACCAGCAAGATGACAGCCGACATGCTCACGAAGTACAGCGAGTGGCCGACAATCGAGAAGCATTGCACCACTCTCAACCTCAGGTTCGGAAAGCAGTTGAAGGGCTTGAGCGCAATGGCAGTTTTCACGGAGGTCGTGACGAAGGCGTCAGGCGAGAGGGTGACAGTGTACGGAGGTTCTGACGAGGTTGCGGTTTGCCCCGCGCCTGTCAGCCACTACGTGGACAGCGAGGAGTTCTGGTTCTTCCTGAAGTTGGGACTAGTTGTGGTGACTGCAGCCAGTGCTTTCTTACTGGGGTGCTGGTGTGGTTGTTACTTCAAGGACTTCTACGACAAGTTCCTCCTCCAGGGTGCGGTTGACCCCGCCTCTGGAAGCACGTGTATACCATCTGCGCGGGCTGAGGCCGAGTTCAAGACCGTGTGTGTACAGCAGGACAAAGGAGCAAGGCACAAGCTCTTAAGCACGTTTCTTGTAGCTGAGCTGCGAGCTGTCTTGAAGGCCAAGAGCCTGGCCGTGTCAGGGATCAAGGAGGACCTGGTCACGAGGATGATCAAGCACGGATGCGTTCTGGCGGATCGCCAGGCCAAGGAGATCGAGCAGCTGCGAGTGATGGCTACAGCGCGAGGACCTCTTACCAAGCTCAGCTTGCAGGACATCAGCAGTCCAGAGGCCGCGCAGAAGTGGATCGAGACGTTCAAGAGCGAGTGCGGAGACCGTTCCAGAGGCTCTCAGGTGATCCACGGAGAGGGCTAGGAGAATGGTCGCAGGAAGCACTACGACAGCCGAAGGTGAGCTTTCTTTTACAGGCTGCGGTTTGCCCCGCGCCTGCCCTCTGCGGGTAGCCCCGCGATGGGCTTAGGCGGGCAGCGCCGTTGCGAAGCCTGCTCAGGGAGCACAAAGTGGTTTCCCTGTGGCTCACGTTTCTCGACTGGAGGCCGAGCCGCTTCCAGCGCCCAAGGAGAGGTGCTGGGAAGTTTGTAGTTTTACATATATATGTGATTATAGAGAATATAATCAGACTGTCCTGGAGGATCCAGGAAATCCTGCAGCCCTTTGTTGCTCGAGGAAAAGAGCGACCCTCACCTCCCCCCTTTCTCCGTGAGGGGGGTGGGTGCACGTGCACTCTGGGACCGTCTCGGGCCCTCTTAGGCCAGCTGCGCTACCCTGGTGAATCCCGGGGGAATCCCGGGCAATCCCTGGGAATCCTTGTGAAACCGGTGGTCCGGGCCCGCAAAACTTTGCAATTCTTTGTTTCTCAGGGTCGCATGAGCTTTGGAGCACTCCACTACGTGCTGAAGGCACGGTGGCGGCCTTAGCATGTACCCACAAACATTGATGTAAACTAGGTACACATGCGAACATCCATCTCTCTCTATGCTTGAACATGTGTACACGATTATATGTGGAATCATCAAGTATTTCCCGCTCAATGTATCCCTCTCCCTTCTTCTGTGTTCCCCGTTCATCGCCTCCTCCATCTGTTTGTTGCCCCGAGCTGCTCAATATTACGGTACGCCGATACGTAGCTTGAGCACAAATATACCATCACGCCGACATCATGAAGTCAGAGGTCCGGTCATAACACAGATCGCCCATACATGTTTGTGTTATCATCTCTATCTCTCTCTCTCTCTCTCTATGTCTCACTCTCCCCCGTCGATATGTGTGCCTGTCAGTGTCGATCCGTCTCTTTCTCTCTCTCTATCGCTCTCTCTCTCTCTCTCTTTCTCACCTCCCGTGCCGCACCGAGTTGCTCGTCATTCCCCCTGTGTTCCTCTGGACTTGCCTGCTGGTCTCCTCTCCCTTACCCCCGTTTATGCCCTCACTCATAAATCTGCTCAAAATCCGCCGAGGGAGGAGGAGCAAGGAGGAGGAGGAGGAGGAGGGGGGAGGAGGAGGAGGAGGAGGAGGCGGAGGAGGAGGATCGATCGATCGATCGAGCTGTCGGGCCGATGTCTGGGGTGACTCCTCTTCTAAGCTAGAGCACAGTGGCAGTTAAAAAGTCTAGCTCGGCCTAGCTGCTAGCTGTGGTCACTTCGTGGACTGGGGGGAGCAGACGCCACCGAGACGCTCGGGCCCTGCGTGCACCGTCCATCCCCACGCAGGGGTCTACGGGCACGGTAGCAGCCGCATTCACGGAAGCTTATTGCCTTCTCATTTGCCTCTCCCCGCTCATGCTCTCAACGTCGCTCTGCTCCTCATTTGCGCTGACCGTGTCTCCCTGCAAGACTTCGCGTGGTCCAATCATTCGCACGATGTGTCCGTCGCCGTTCCTCTCGAAGACTCGGATGTTGGTCCACATTGTGACTGTCGCCTCGAGCCACTCGTCGAGCCGGGCGTACAGCCACGAGTCCTTGACTGCGTAGCCCTCCGCGATGCGTCTTGCCACGATGTCGAGATCTGGGAACCCGCTCGGGATCTCGTGCACTCGAGGCCATGTCTCGCAGTCCTCTTTCTCTTCGCGCCCCTGCGTGCCCAGCGTCGTGTCTTGGTCGTCGTAGTTCAGCTGTTCCCCGTTCTCTGTGTTCGGGATGCCAAGCGCCTCCTCCTGGTCCACGTGACAGGCATCTCGACTATCGTCTCGTTGTCGCTTGCCCAGAGTCGTGTTGGAGACCTTCTGATCTTCGCGCCCTTGCGTGCCCAGCGTCGCGTTCTGGTCGTCGTAGCTCAGCTGCTTCTCGTGCGTCGCGGTGTCCTTCTTGCTCGGCTCCTTGGTCTGCGAAGCTTGGCTGCCCCTCGTAGGTCGTGGTGGCCTTGGTGCTCGGCAGCTCGTCCTGTTTAGCGAAGTTCTGCGGCTTCTCGTGCGCGGTGCCGTTGTCCCCGAGCTTTTCGCCGTCGTCGGTCTCGGTGTGGATGTTGCCCAGCGCCTTCTCCTGAGCTGTCAAGCTCTGCTGCTCCGACGTCGCGGTGCCCTGTGTGCCCTTTGTCTCATCATGGTCTGCGAAGCTCTGCTGTTTCTCGTGCGTCGCGGCGTCCTTGGTGCCCAGCGTCGTGTCCTTGCTCGGCGGCTCGCCCTGGTTACCAAGCGCCGTTTCCTGGCCTGCGAAGCTCTGCTGTTCCAGCGTCGCGGCGTCGTGTGTGTCCAGCGTCTCGTCCTGGTTTGCGAAGCTCTGCTGTTCCTCGTGCGTCGTGGTGTCCTTGTTGCGCAGCGTCCCGTTCTGGTCGTGGTAGTTCAGCTGCTTCTCGTGCGCCGCGGTGTCCTTCGTGCTCAGCTCCCCCTGGTCTGCAAGGCTCTTCTGCTCCGTGTAGGTCGCGGCGCCCTTGGTTCCCAGCGTCGTGTCTTGGTCAGCATACTTCAGCAGCTTCTCGTGCGCGGTGTCTTGCGTCTCGCCTTCGTAAGTCATTGAGTCCTTGTTGCCCAGCGTCTCCCCCTGGTCTGCGACGCTCTGCAGTCCCGGTGGCGGCCCCAGTAGGAGTCGGCGAAGAATGTCTAGAGACGCTTGTTGAGATCTCCTGGCATGCGTGCATCGAGCACGGAGTCGTCGTCGCTGGCTGGGCGTCGGTCGGGAGCAGGACGCTTCTTGGGTCGCACCTGCGGGCGGCACGCGAGAGAGGCTGTCCATGCAATACCGTGCCAGTGATGCCATGCGGGCCTCTGCCCAGTCAAGTCCTCCTCCGCATGCTGTGGAATTGCTGGGTGGGAGCGCGCGCTGCCCTGACAATCTCTTAGGCCTGGATGGCAGGTGGAGAGGAGGAAGAGGAGGAGGAGGAGCAGCAGCAGCAGAGCCCCTGATACCTTCAACTTCTCCGTGTGTGTCCGACGTCCTCTCGACACCGCGCCAGGATGCCTCCGCGCGGGGACATCTCGCCGGCCGTCTTCTTCCCCGCCTGGCAGGGAGGGAAGCAGAGAGGGGAGGAGGCAGCAGGAGGAGCAGCAGCAGCAGGACGAGGAGGAGTAGGAGGAGGAGGCGGAGGAGGCAGAGGAGAAGGTCGCAGCGCAGTCTAAGCACGCCGCCATGCAGATCGAACGGGCGTCCGAAATTATGTATTGGGTTTCGTCACAGCCTCGCGCCGCCACGCTGGTCCCGGGCAGACCTGTGCTGACTGGCGGAAAGGGACGAGGAGGGGAGGAGCAAGCAGACGACGACGAACGCGCAGGCGGGAGGCCAGGGCCGGCGGGGCGGGCAGGAAGGCGGAAGAGGGGCCAGGCGGAGACAGCAGGCAGGGAGCAGGAGGAAAGGAAAAGGAGGGAAGCAAGGAAGAGAAGGAGAGGGGAAGCAACCGCAAGCAGACAGGCCGGGCCAGCGGCAGGGAAAGAAGGGCCACCCGCTACGAGGCTACGGACCCTGCGGCGGCGGCACCGACCAGGCGGCGCAGGCGTAGCGGTGGAGTGGGCGGTAGGCGTCGGGGAGGGGGCGCTGGCAGTCGTCAGGGGGGGCCGTCGGGGTCGTCCGGGGGTGGCAGTGCAAGAGTGGCTGGCGGTCGTCGGGTTCGTCGTGCTGGAGTGGGGCTGGACGGAGGGCTGGGCGCGGGGCTGGGCGTCGGGAAGGGCGTCGGGATGGCGTCGGGATCGTTGTGTGGTGCCTGGCCGAACCCAACACGCTGCGGCTTGGTGGGGATTGCCTTCTGCGGGATCCATCCACCGCCCCGCCGAGGAAGGGGCGGCCGGCGGAAGGGCGCGAGGGGGGCGCTCGTGCTGCCCAGCAAGGATGAAGGGGGGGGCGGGGGGCGTTAAGCAGCGCCGGGAAAACCACACACGGCGTCCACCGCGGAGGCCGCCGTGGCCGCAGCCAAACGGGCCGCGGCCACCCTCGCCCTTCCAGATTGGAGGCGTCGCAACGTCGCTTCTGGTGTTCAGGAGGGCGTCGGGCGCGAGAGCGAGCCCTCGACCGCGGAGGAGGGAGGAGAAGATGGGAGGGGAAAGGAGAAAGAGGCAGGACGAGGAGGAGGGAAGAGGAGGAGGAGGAGGAGGACGAGGAGGAGGAGGAGGAGGAGGAGGGAGGATAAAGGCGTGACGAGAAGGAGGAGGAGGAGGAGGAGGAGGGAGGAGGAGGGGGGGGGAGGAGAAGGAGGAAGGAGGAGGGAGGAGGAGGAGAGAAGAGGGAGTGAGGGGGAGGGAGGAAGACGAGAAGGAGGAGGGTCGTCGTGCTCGCCTGCTCGTACGTCGGGCATCTCCTGGAAGTCAGAGGGTTTACTCGCCACAAACCGTTGCGGCACTGGAGGAAGCAGCAGCAGGAGCAGGAGGAGGAGAAGGAGGAAAATGGAATACTGTAGCCGCAGCACGGATACGGGCCGGGGCGAAGTGGCGCCACGGGGCGAAGGGGTGGCAGTCGTGGCGACTGCGGCGATCCCAGACTTCAAGGAGTCGCGAGGAAAGACACGACAGGCGTGATTCCTCCTCCTCCTCCTCCTCCTCCTCCTCCTCCTCCTCCTCCTCCTCCTCCTCCTCCTCCTCCTCCTCCTCCTCCTCCTTTTTCCAGTGGCTCTCGCTTGGCTCCCACCAATCTATGACCGAAGGGGCTGCAAAGGGGCCCCCAAGCACCACCGACCACCACTACCCAGCGCCTGCAGGGCGGGGCCCGAAGGCCAGGGCCGCCATGCAGGCGCAGGGCAGTGGCCCAGGTGCCTGGCTGCCCCCACCACCGCCCGCAGGCAGTGGCCAAAGAACGCCCGCCAGGGCGAGCACAACAAGACAATTCAACAACACAATCAAAATAGCTTGGTCCACCACTCCGCCTCCTCATGAGGCGCGAGGCTGAGTGGCCAAGGGCTTGTGATATTCTGTCCCCGCGGCCAGGGAAGGTCGCCTCTCAGAAGCTGTCTCCTCTGCTGTGCAAATACTTTACCACAGGGTTTCAGCAGCTGACGAGGAGCCCCAGTACAATAAGCCCCACACCTAAGGCACAACACCACAGGCAGAGAAGATTGTACTATTTTGGCGACATGCAGTGTGTGGGGCTTGGGGTTGTCGACCTGATTAATTAAAGACCGCATGGAGGGGGTTAAAGCCGCGCAGGACCCCGTAGGATTCTTAGAATCAAACGCACGGGCGCACTCAAGGCACCGCCACCTACACCCGTTCCAACGCACACGATGAGCCCTCAGGCCGCTGGGAAGGACCACGGGCCTGGGGACTCTCGGGGCGCGCTCTAGTTTGCCAAAAAGAGATCTGGCCTCTGGAAGGCTGTCTAAAATTGTGCCCATGCCTACTGCCAAGACTTCCCAACTACTCAGAGCCAGCTCGTACTTGACAATGTTCTGGGCCATCTCAGGATGATTTTGGCCCCGTCCTTAGCATACTCGTCGGCATAATCGTTTCCACGCTTGTGAACCCGAGCCATACCAATCACGTCTTCCCCCACATGAGATTTAACCTTGTTCAACACGAAGGGCGGGCGGGGCGAGGAATAAAGCATTTTCCAGACTTCACTGAGCGGTGTTCTCCCGCTCGTCGATGCCCTCTGATCTCGAGGGCCTGCAAAAAGGGCCTGGCAATCCACGTTCAGCCTGAACGGCTCGTCCTCGCCAGTATGTTCAAAATGCTCCAGGGCCTGAAGCAAAGCGTAGTGCTCGGCGAACACAGCACTCTGAGGCAGGAAACCCGGCAGGTTACCACACACAGCTCTTACAAAGTCCCCAGCGTCGTCTATTTGGATGACGGCCCAGCCCGCACGGGCCACATAAACATGTGTGGGGGAGTAGCAACTACCGTCCGAATACAGATTTTCGCAACGGCTGAACGTGAATTTTGTTGTTTCCCCCGACCTGTCGAAATACCGAACCACTCCATCCCACAAGGCGCCCTGAATACCCTCGGGCTGGGCGTCCCACAGGCTGGAGTAGAGAGGATCGTCTGGGCCAGCTTCAACAGCTAGCCGAACAACATCGGCACTCAATGCCTCATCTCGCCTGTCAGCGAGTCCTGGACAGACAAAGCAGCGGTGCCATACAGTGTCCTCGGCTCCTCCCTCGGGGGATCTGCAAAAAGGGCACACTGGAGGGATCTCGTACTTCCAATCATGTAAACGCTTGGCCGTGATTTACGACCTGCAGAATATATCTTTGACAGCTTTTTGAACACCACGATGACGCTTTTTGCTGGCCCAAAAGGACCTCGGCGGGCCCGTCCACAGACCACGATGCAAAATATCCAGAGCCCTCGGATGTTCGGAGTCCCTCAGATGCCTGCTCATACTCTGGGCCACATAGGCCTTAGACAAATCTCGTACGAAGTACTTCTCTACCTGCACGAACGGCGTATCTGTCAACAGCAGCGGGCCCCCGTTGCTCATGTTAAAACTGAGCGGGCCTCGAATCTGCCAGTTCGCCATGCCGAGCCAGAGAATCATGTCTCCTATGGGACCCCAGGACTTCTTGGCCCATGAACTTCTGGAGTGTTCCTGGATGTAGTTCTGGACAGCAGACAAAATCTTAGAAAGCTCCCCCACAGACAACCCATCGCCATGGCGGTGCCCAGGGGTCGATGCCATCCAGACTTCTTTTGCAAAGCGGCGAAGGGTAGCAGCAGCATGATTGACAGGATCTCTGGTCGGCTCCAGCGAAAGTGCCAAATTTAAATCAGCTCCGCAGGAAGTCAATCCAAGAAAGCCAGCAGCCTGACTTCGTAGCTTGCGAATCTCTCTCGGCGTCCATCCCACCACCTCCTCCCCATAAGTAGTGGCTGGCTTGACACCGCAGAACCATATTTTCGCCCTGGCACGCTTGGGATTTCGAAGGCTTCGAATTTTCCCCAACCTCCTCCTTCCTTTGGCCCACCTCTCATTACGCTTCTGTTTGGCTTTCCTGACGCTCAAATGCTTGCCTGGCGCGAAGTCGCATCCTAGGTTGGCAATCGATGGGTCATATGTGCCAGCATACTGATCTAAAGCTAGACGGGCCTGAGCTACCAGCTCTGGAGAGGTTCCAGTAATGGCGAGCTTCTCCATAGAGAAACGAAGGTTAAATAAATTCGATAACCGATCAACCAAGAAAGCGACAGCAAAACCCATATTGATCACACAAAGCTCCAAATCCTCGTTCCTCTCATTGAGACTAAAATCACCCACATGCACAGCCAGTTCGGGATGCAGACGACACTCACAATATTCCGCTACAGTAGGAAGGCAGTAGCATTTTATCTCATATGTAGCCGTGCTGCTTCCCGCTACGATACCCTGAGCTGGCATAACTGCATCTGCGCACATACCGTCTAGGCTCAGGATCCTCTGCCACGCGTACGTGTGAATAGAAAACCTGTGCACATGCATCGGGAATCCCCAGTCCAACGCCGAATTGATCAACTGCTGGTGCTGCACGTGCTCATAGCACTGCTTCAAGTCGGCAAGCAGGCTGAGCACGTGCCCTCGCCTGGAAAACGCAAGGTCACTTCGAACAGTCTGGCGCCATACCGTATCTGTTGGGCTCCGTCCAGGAGCCATGCGGAAGATACCACCGTCCGAAATTCTTTTTTTCCCAAGACTTGCACACAGAGGAGTTCCACCTTGACAATGTCCGAACCAGTGTTTGGAAGAAGCCCATTGGCCTCCGTCCCAAGACAGGTCTCCTGAAGAGCGCGACCACGAGGGTCTGCATCCAAGTAGGGGTGGATCCCAAGATAAGCATAATACGGAAAATACAGCTGAGGCACGAAAGGGCCTGAGAACAGAGAAACGGATAATGCCTCGGATGGTACCCATCTGTTGCGATCGTATTCCTCTTGAAGCTCTTGGAGATGCGAATGATCTCCTCGGGGCTCGGGGGCTCTGGGATATTGTGCGAAGGCCATCCCAGTGGGCCTCCAGCAGTTTTCTTGTTGGCCCCCCAAGCTTCTGACCAATTCTCCTTCTCCTGAGCGAGCTGGGCGGCAAGGCACGAGGTCACATGGCCGTCGTCGGTCGGCAGCAGGTCTTGCTTTCGAGCATCCGCTGCCTTAGTGTAGGCGCGAGCCCACTTCGCTCCACCTGCCAGCGCCTCAGTGCACCAATCCTTCCACTTGGCCGAACGATCGGCCCTCTCTCTAGTCAAACGTTCTATCGCAAAATGATCGGCCAGAGCTTTCAACGCGGCTAAGGCCTGGACAGGCAGGACCGACTCTATCTCCAAGGTGTTCCAGAGAGGAATCAGCACGGCCTCCAAGGCCCCACACCAAAACTCACGGCCTCCAGCAAAGTGATACTTGAAGATACCGCCTGCTTTTGAAACCTTATAACTCGAACGAACAAGATCATCATAATACTGCCTATGCGCGTGATACTTCTCTTGCTCCACAAAAGCCAAAAGCTCTGCACAGCGCTGCGACAACCACTTCAAAGCACGATACGGGCTTCTCGACGGGGAGCGCTTGGTGCAGAGGAGCTCGGCCATGGGAACCTCTACCGTCTGATATGGGAGACCTCCAGCCCGATCTTCTGGAAAGCTCTGAAGCGCATTCCGAAGTTCTCCCCAAGATTGCTCACACCACCTCTCATACTGCACATCCAAACCTTGTTGGAGCATATCCCGCTCATCATCCCTAGGAAGCCTGAAACCCCCATCCTTCTCGAACGGCAAGATGAGGTCCTCAGGAGTCTCCAGGATGCTGTCATTACTCGGGGCCTGAGGGGCTGGGCCTATGGGAAGATCCACTGGGAGTTTCTGATACTTCAAGGGCCTCTGGATCTTGATGGTGTCCACCCCCTGCTTAAACCTCAGAGTGACAGGTCGGCGCGGGAATAAATATGACTGCAAATCGGCCTTCGCCGACTCAACTCCAGCAAGCAAGTTCTTGCTGATCAAAAAGTAGTCGTAACATCTACCTGGCGTGCTGGACAAGCACGTCTGACTGGGATTCGGAATGACAAGCTGCCCGTTCAACCTATGCGGCGGAAACCCTTCTCTGAACAGGTGGGGCTCTATGTTGTGGTCCCCACCAGAGATGTAAGGTAAGTTACGCCTGGTGATATCGTTTCCCAAGGCAACCGCAAGTCGTAGATTATGTTCCCCCAGACCGATCCCATCTTTCCAATAGTTACAATAGATCGAGACCACTCCCAAAGATTTGCTTCTGTAGTAGCAATGGAGGATTCGGGCCTCAACCAGGGCCCCAGGCTCTGAAGGGGGTTTCCACACATCCAGATGAGCCCTGGCCAAAATACAAACTCCAGCGCTTTGCCCACCTCGTTGAGTGACTTCGCAGGGAGCCCAAAAACTTTTCCACCCTTGCTTTCGTAGACGCTCCTTGGCTTCTAGCAGGGGCTGACCATGTAGCTTATGTTCTTGAACGAGTACAATATGGGCGGATGTGCCCATCACGAAGGCGGCCGCGCTGGTCCAGGAGTTGGCATTCACCGTCTGGACTAAGAGCTGGCCGCCCTTCTCATACTCACACTGACTGTTACCCGCCAGACGGGTCCAGGCACGTGGCCGCAGCCTCCTCCTGGCCCTCCTGGCGCGCACGGCGCGCTGGGGGTGCATTGGCGAGCTCCGCCGCCTCAGCTGATCTGCGGCCCGCCAGGGCTACCTGATCCATCTCGGCGTCCTCGGCGTTCTGCTCGTGCACCTCTGCCTGCGCCATCTCCTGCTCCTCCCGACCTCCGCTGGCAGCGGCGGCCGCCTGCGACTCCTCGGCCACTCCCTCAGGCGGCGGCGGCGGAGGCGTTGGGAAGCCCGCCTCTGCTCGCACAGCGCCCGCGAAGACCGCCATGTGCTCGTTCAGCGCCTGGCGCAGCGACGGGTCGAGGTTGAGCGACAGATAGTTGAGGCCGTTCAGATAACCTGTCAGATCATGTGAGGACTGCATGCCACTGACTGCCGCCATCATGGCCCCCTTTCCCCCCATCGTGGGCGTGATGAAGGGCGTCATAAGTCCTGGCGGCGACATATATGGGTCGACAGCTGGACGTGCTGGAGCCGTACGTTGAAGATGAATCACCTTCTCCTCGAGCTCCGACTGGGTCTCCTTCGCGCTCTGGATGCCTGCTGCGATGAGGGCCCTCTGCACATCCAAATCTGCCAATGTCTGTTCCTGCTTATTAGCATATTGAGTATGAGTCTCCAGCTGCTTTTGAGCTCTTATCAGACGAGAATTGTGCGCCTGGAGGAGCTGGCTCTCGGTCTTCTCGGAGTCCCTCTCCATCCTCATGCGCTCCATCAAAGCTTCCACTGCATCCTGCGCCGCCAACACATCCTGCGAGGCAGCGCTCGACTCGGCCTTGGCTCCAAAACCCTTCATGATGTCCAGGGACTGTTGGAGCTGCGCGATCTGCGGGCCGATCGGCTTTTGCTTGGCATCGGTCTTAGCCTTCTGCTGCTGCGCGGCTGGGCCAGCCTCCGATGTGCTCTCCCAATGCTTGCCGCACTGCCAACACCAAGCGTGACGCATGTTCACAAACGCGCTGCATCCAGCGCACTGCCACGAATAGTTAGACGACAATGTGGGTGCGGCAGGGCTCTTGCCAGCGCTCGAGCTTGAGGGCGCGTCAGCCTGGGACTTGCCCTTCCCCTTGCTCTTGACTTGGCCTTTGCCCTTCCCGCCGCCCCCACGACCTCCCATTACTACACTGAGAAAAACAAAGGTGGTGCGATATCCTGCCCACGGCCCTGCTGTGGCCCAGGTCGGTGGTGTGGGCAGGTGTGGTAAGACTACTGCGTTCAGCCTTCTCCCTTGAGCCAGGCTTGAGCCAGGCTTGAGCCAGAATGGCTTGAGCCAGGCTACGGACCTCCTCCTCCTCCTCCTCCTCCTCCTCCTCCTCCTCCTCCTCCTCCTCCTCCTCTTCACCATCCCTCACCATCCCTCACCTCCAGGCCTCGCGACAAAAGACACGACAGGTGTTTTTTACTCGGTGTCCTTTTCCTCCTACTTCTCCTCATCATCATCCGCATCCTGCTCACCAACCCAGATTTCGAGGCGCCGCGAGAGAAGACATGATAGGCATTTGTCCTAGGCGTTGTTCCCCCACTTTCTTTTTTCGGGCCTCGGGGACAGGAAACGCGGAAGAGTCAAAGAGGGGGTGATCGGGGGTACGACATCATGGCTGGGGCCGTGAAATCACCCAGATCCCATGACCATATTTCTTCTCTCAAAACGTCAAATGGCCCGTCCTTATCTATGCATATGATTCGGGCCGTGATGCGTTAATCGCACTCTTCCTGGCTTCCCCTTTGGCGCACCCGACTTATTTCGACCCCCATGGTCGTTTTCGGCCTCGGGGCCAGGAAAGGACGCTGTGCGGCAAAGAGAAAGCGGTCCTAGGAACAGGGTCGAGAGCTCGGAGGCTTGGGACCATGATTGAACGCATGGCAGAATGTGGGACGATGCTCATGCATGGCATGTTGTCTGAATGCCATGGCCAGCAAGAAGGATATGCACTGGATAATTTGCTGAGGGGGGTCTTGTTTTGCATCACCAAGCCCTGATGCCAACATCTCGAGAAGTGTCATGCGTCCTGTCCTACGGAAGGAGGACGAGGACGAGGACGAGGACGAGGGGGACAACATGAAGATTCAAAAGAGGCACTTTTAGAGAGAAGAGCGCGCCTTGCGAAGACTCCCTCATTCCAATGTGGCCATTATCCATGTCTCCCCCCTGTGCATATCCCCTTCTTTGCACCTCCTCTCCTCCGTGTCTCCAGCCTGGACCGACGACGAGCCGACGACGATGACCAGCTTGAGACGTTGACCCTGACGGCCACTCCAGCGGGGATTCCCGCAGTCGCCGTTGTCGTCACAACCGCCGTCGTCCTCATCGTCTTTATCGTCCACCTCCGCCTCATCATCTTCCTGTTCTTCCCCCTCCTCCTCCTCCTCCCCAACGACGTGGAGAAGGAGGAGGAGTTCCGTAAGGAAGAAGAGGAGGACGCGAACGTTAAAGGGAGGAGGAAGAGGAGCATGAAGAGAAGGAGGAGGAGGAGGAGGAGGAGGAGACGGAGCAGGAGAAGATGGAGGAGGAGGAGGAGGAGGAGGAGGAGGAGGAAACGGTGGTGGTGGTGGCGGTGGTGGTGGTGGTGGTGGTGGTGGTGGTGGTGGTGGTGGTGCTCACGGTTGCCGGCAGCCGATTCTCAGACGTTTTATGGCGCTTCGCGTCCGAGCCCTTCTGGCCAGGTGACGTAACAAGCCTTCGGTTTGGGCCCCGCGCCGGCCAGGCCAAGCAGCCAGGGCAAGGGCACCCTGCTGCTTCTCCATACGAAGGAGGAGGAGGCGGAGGGGGAGGAGGAGGAGGAGGGGAAGAAAGAGGAGGAAGGCGAGGGGGACGACGATGAGGACGATGAAGAGAGAAAAAGGGAGGGAGGAGGAGGAGGAGGAAGAGAAAGAAGAGAAAGATGAGAAGGAGGAGGAGCAGGGGGCAGAAGAAGAAGAAGACAAGGAGGTCGTCACCGCCTGGGCCAGGGACGAGCTGGGGCACTCAATCTACGGGCACCACCTGCTGGCGCCCGCGAGAGCCCGCAGGGTGGCGGTGGTCACAGGCCCTGGCCTCGGGGAGCCTGTATCGAGCGTCTTCGCCGTCGCGGTCGTCATCGTCCTCGTCGTCCTCGTCGTCGCTGCCGCCGCGGCCCACGTCGTCGGCCGCCGCAACTGATATCGTCTGTCTGGGCCGGGGGCGAGCTTGGGGTGGCACACCCCAGGGGCAGGGCGAGGCGGCGAAGGCGCTCTGGCAGTGGGCATCGCGTCGGGGGGGCGGGGGAGGAGGGGTGTCCTCCTCCTCCCGGAAACAGCACCAAGAGCGGACGGAGCCCGTCCACCGCGGGCAGGCACTTTTGGAGAGCGGCGCTGCCCCTTTGATGAGGGGCCCTTACCGCTTGCGCCACCTCCGCAGCCAGTCACACGCCGACAGCACCACAGAACGCAGGGCTGCCAGCGACGCAGCTGGGAGACCTCTCCCCACAGGGAGAGAGCCATCGGGACCATACTTAGGGCAACCCCAGCAATGGACCGATAGCCTGTGGCCCCCCAGCCGCACACACAAAAACAAAAACAAGTTCCTGCGAGCTGGGGCATGCGGCCCAGCAGATAGAAAAGCACTAGACGCAAATGCAAATAAATGCCGCAAGGCAAATAAGAGCAAACGCGCGCGCCGAACCATGCGAGCGGGAGACCTCTCCCCGCAGGGTCAGCGCCATCGGGGCCAGTCATGGGGCAACCCCAGCAATGGGCCGTCGACACGCAACGTCACGCACAAGAGAAGGCACACCTCCTGCTATGACGCCTGCGTCGAGGCCGAGAGCTGACGGAAGCCCAAAATGGGTTGCACGCGACCTTGGAACTTGAATTCTCCAGCTTGCAGGCGCGCTGGGATTTGGCGCCTGTCTTTGCTGATGACGGGCTTGCATTCACGCACCAGGTGCACCACAAGAGACGAGGTGCTCGCGGCGCACTGAGTGCACACAAAAAACTGAACGTCACCGATCAAAAAGGTGGCCAACACGTGCTGCTTGGACCCAGAGTGCCTCAACTGCTCTTGGGCATCCAGGATCCTCGGAGCGAGGGTTGGCGGAGGCGGCTTGACAATCAGGAGCGAATTGTTTGGCCGAGACGCTCTCTGCTTGTGCAGGGTGTCGGCCGAGGCGATCGCTCCACCAGCACGGGCAATCCAGCCAGAGGCGATGGAGGCCACTCTTCGCTGCGTGGCGAGCAGCTTCAAAAACTGGGGATACAGACGCCGAGCCGAGCCACGGCTCTTGGCGCCATTCCCAATATTGTCTTTGAGAGAGTGCCTCTCTTCCTCCACCATGGCATTCGTGACGTGCGCCTTCACCTTCCTCAACTCGGGTGGGTCACCACCCCAATATTCAACTCTGTGCCAGACCTGCTTCCAGAGGCATACCCACGCGGCAGTAGGAGTAGTCGCGGCGACGAGCCCGCGTAGCGCGTGTCCTTTCCACGCGAACTCCGAATCCGTGTGGGGTACAACTGGCGGCACCGCGAGCACGAATCCTGCCAGCAGCGCATAGAGCTCAGCTCCATCAGTGTCCTGGCAGGGCGACGGGAGCAGGCCCGTGACTGCAGCACGAGCTGAGCTGTCGGCGGCGAGAGCGACCGCCGCCCAAGCCGCTTGCCCACGCCCGGGATAACCCAGAAAAAGGGGCCCGTCCAGGTGCGCGCCACCAGTGAGGTCCTGAGGGTTCCCATGGAAGACAAAGCCAGCGCCTTTGGGATAGTCCAGCAAATGCTGCGGCAGCTCAGGCAGCGGCAGCAGCGCCCGCTCGAGCAACATCCTAACCAGGTCGTTGGTGTCCGCGTGCTGGGTGAAAGCCGTCACCGCAGCTGGGACAGACCCCCCTACTGCCTCAAGCACGACAGCACACCCAGTGTGACGGTGCAGGAGGGTCCCAGGGGCCGATTTGCACGCGAGACACGTGGGGGAGTCGATCCAACCTTGACGAAATTGACGATCTTGTGGCCACGGAGCTCCAGTACAGGCACTCCGAAGGTAACCCCGCTGCTGCCAGTTGAGCCCACCCTTGGCGCCCATGAGGAGCTTGAGAAGAGCCTCAAAGAAGCCTCCACGGAACTCGGGATACTCAAGATGTTCCGAAACTTGCAGGTTGGTCCTATCCCTAACAGCATGACCAACACCAGACATGAGCACCCTGGGACACATATCTTCTTAATCGAGCGAGCTGCCATCAGGAAGCCTCCAGAGAAACGCCTTCTCAACAAATATCCCAACACGTTGCAGGGTAGTAAACAGTGCTCCGAACGGCCCGCGGACTTGAGGCCACATGCTGTCTTTGCCCGAGAGCGCTTCGCGCGCATGCTCGAGTCCTCGTCCGAGGACATGCTTGGGTATAACGCCACTCCAGAGCACAAGCGAAAAAACGTTGACCGGCTCGAGCGTGGCCCGCCAAATCGGATCGAAGTGGTGTTGCGGCGCCAGGACGAGCGCGATGGTTCGCTTCTTGCCGATAGTCCTCGCGTCGAGGGAAGCTGCAGCTTGCGATCTTAAAATATCCAGTTCCTTCAGGGTGGCGCCTTGAACGGAGGTGCCGAAAGCCACAGACGTTCCCAAAGCAGCCCTGGACATCAAAGCCATCGTTTTCCTCCTGGCGGTCCCCACTTGGAGATGCCGCAACCGTTTCAACTTGGTCTTGACGACCTCCTCCTCCTCCTCCTCCTCCTCCTCCTCCTCCTCCTCCCGTTGCCATTTTGGCTCAAGCGTGCCAGCGCACGCGCGAGCGGGCATCCTCACTCTCGAGGCTTTCTGGTGCGTCAGGCGCCAGCGGACATAACCTTTACCCAGTAATTCCTAACCCTTAGATAAAACGAAACGCACAGTGCACGCGCGATGGCCGCCCGCGGTCGTGGCGGTGCTGATTCTGCTGCTGTCTCTGACGAGGAAGCGGCTCGCGACCCCAACGAGAAGAGCCGCAGCGGGGAACGCGCCCGAGGCCGGCGGCCCCGCGCTGAGGCCAAACAGGATCCTCTGGCCGAGCGGGATCCTTGGAGCGGAATGGCTGCCCAGCGTGGCCGGCCCTCCGGGGAGCCCCCTGGCCCCGCCGCGGGAGGGTCCTCAGGGAGCGCTGGCGCTGTGGTTCAAAAGCACATGAACGCCCTCTCGGAGAAAATCCGCGAGTACATGGCTGAGCAGCTTACCACCGCTATGGACTCGGTTCGCGAGGAGCTCGACGCAATGGTCGAAGATAAACTTGCTCCCCAAGCTGCCAGGCTCGAGGAACATGCTACTGAGATTGCTCTGATCAAGGAAAAGAACGCTAACCTGGAGAAAGAGCAAGCGGGGCTGCAGGCCGCGGTCAAGGAGCTGCAGACCACGCTGGCGGTGGCGGAGGCGCAGGTTGCGGCGCCGCTGGACCCAGCACGCCTTGCCGATTGGAACAGGACGGCTGACCCTGCCCTCTTCGTCCTCTCCTGTCAGGCCCCCGCCGCTCCAGGAGAGGTCAAGTCCGCCATTTCGCAATGGCTCCAGGCCGCCAAGGTCACCGAGGACCAGGTCACGCTCCTCGGCGACCTCCCGTCGAAACGTTTCCACCTCCACTGCCCTGGTGGCGCTGCGGGCGTTGCCCGCGCTGGGGCACTCCAGGCTGCGCTCAAGCTACCAGGCGGACAATGGCGTCGATTTGACGTGCTCTCGGTCAACGGCCAGCGCGTCACCATGTACACGAATGCCGACAAGAGCGCGAAGGACATCCGTAAGGAGGTGCAGACGAAGAAACTCTTGGGCCTCATCAGGGCTGCGGTGCCTAGCAAGGACTGCTGGGCGCGCCGACCGAAGGGCCTTGTCTACGTGGACTCTGTGCCGATCGTGGAGGTGCAGGTGCGTGGCCCCGACGAGGCCTCCCGACTGGCCTGGGACGGGTCCGCCACCGCCCGCCTCGGCATCGACAAGCAGGCCATTACGAACCAGTTCCAGGCACTCTGGCGCGAGGTCGACACCTCTGGATGGGACTCTCCCTAGCCTCCGGTGGGCTCCGTGGGAGGTCGGGGCCGCTACCCGTGGGCTCTCGGTGGTGACGTGGAACGCTCGCGGCCTGCTCCTCCGTGCCGCCGCCAGGAGGCGGCGGAAAGTGAACATGGTCGTAGAGCACCTTCGCCAGCGCTCAATTGTGCTGGTCCAGGAAGTCCACGGCTTCACCGAGACGCTCCAGAACTACCTCAACCAGTACTGCATCCACTACAAGATGTATAGCTCTACGACCGGTCGTCCGGGGGCTGGCGGGATCGCAATTTTGATCCCTTGGCACGACCATCACACTATTGCCGCTGCTGGCACGGCGGCTCTCCCTCAGATCCAGAGCCGCGAGTTGGAGCCAGGGCGCGCTGCCGTTACGACGATCACCAACCCCAAAACGCAATGCGCCATTAAAATCATGAACATCCACAATTATGACCTCACCGAGCTTGGGAAGGATCGCATTCGGCGAGCGTGGCGGGATGCTGCGCACTGGGCGCACGAGGACCCTATGAAGAGGACCTTCGTTGCAGCTGGCGATTTTAACATGACCGATGTGCCAGCGGAGTCTCTTTTGTACCCTCGGCCGCGTCAGGCCCAACGGTCTGACGCCAGCAGGGCCAACCGATCCGAACCATTCTGGAGAGATATTTTCACGAATCCCAACATGCTTGAGGTGTGCTCGCCGCTCCCCACCCACTTCACGAAGGACTCAGGGACGCTGCGCACGATTGATCGGATCTTCGTCTCACTCGCATCGTCTTTCGCGCTGGAGACCGAGTGCGACCTCCAGCTGGTGCACGATGCCGTGACGCTGGACGCGCAGAACCTCAGCGACCACGCAATCCTCAAGCTTCGCATGAAGACCAGGCAGGCCACGCCCAAGGGCGAGAGGAAAATCCCAGCATTCATCTTCAAGAGCCCTGAGTACAAGCGGATCCTCGCCAACTGCCTTGATGGTTGTCGCATCGAGTTCAAGCCTGTTTTTGAACAGTGGCGCGACATCAAGGCCATGATGACGCTCGCCGCGGAGCTCGCTCGGAACGAGCTGCAGTCCAA